TGTCATTCTGCTTATGGTTCGAGGTCATGGCTATTTGGTCACTCTGGTATGATGCTGTTGAGTTCGGGAATTCGCTATTGCTCATCTTCCTTGCAATGTTTTTTTTTTTTAAAGAAAAGAAAAATGTTTAGATTAAGGGACAACTAAAATCTGGCTGCAGAAGGACTTACTGAACATTCTAGGGAGTTCAGGGACACAGGTAGAATTTGCTAGGGACAGGTAGGGATTTTCAAGTAACATGGAGAGGCCTTTAGAGCCCCGTAAGATAGCAGATAGATAACAATAGAACCAGGATTGCATTGGGTCTATTTTAGGTCTATGTTATGATCCTGGCCAGTTTCAAGATACACATTTATCAGATAGTACAATGCCGCCCAATTGCAGAAAGAAATGAATGAACTTGAAAGGAGAGAGAGGGTTAGAAGAAGAAGAAGAAGTAAGAAAGCAGAAGAAGATGATGTACACCAGCATAGACAAATGATGAAGCTCTTCTTCTTCACCAAACTCTCTCTTCCTCCTTATCTCCTCCTCTCTTATTCACACAAGAAATAATAGTACAATGTTGAATGGCTGAACCAGAATCAATGTCCGAATACTGCGGTATCCCATGAGGTCCACCATAGCCATGGCCACCCTTCTTCTTCCTTGTCCAAGGCCGAGGATATGGCTGACTACTTGGGCCTTGCGCTGATGCTCAAAGGACAACCCAAAGCAGCTATGGCTTCTCAAGCTCAGGCCGCCATGCCTGACTCTGCCTCGAAGCTTCTTGGTGTAGCTCTACCCTCTCTGGGGCCTTCCTGCTGCAGCGCCCACCAAGGTGATGAAGATGGCTGCCACCATAGCCAGGTAGTACCTCTGACGCTCCTCCCCCTTCCTGTCCTTCTTCCTCCTCCGAGTCCTTGCTTCTTCCCCAGCAGCGCTGCTCCAGCCAGCACTCCAACCAGTGTCACCAAACTTGCACACCGACAACGAGGCTGGGCTCTTCGCCCAGCCCGGAGATATAGTGGCCTGTGTGCCTCTTGGGCGGTGACTTCCAGGCCGCTCGGCCTTCCAAGCAACCGGTACCTCCTCCCTTTCGGAGGGAAACATCATTGCAGACTCTGGTATTGCCCGTACAGGCCCTAGACTCAGACTGGTACCCGCCTAGACCTAGCCTACAACTCCTGGGCCTCTAAAAATGCCACTTTTGTCTTCTTCTGCTCGGCCTCCAGTACCCGGCACATCTACCGCTTCAGGCTGTGGTACCGGTCTACCTGCTACTTGAGTGTTTCCCTGCTGCTTCAAGTGTTGTGGGCCTCTTTCCCCGCCACTTGAGTGTTTTTCCCCCGCTGCAATCCTCAATGCCACGGCCACAGTAAGTACCGGCCCTGAGGGCCCAACGAACGAACAAGTGCTTTTGCGGGCCAGACACACACTCAAGCCAACCAGCACTCTGACAGACATGCAGTTCAGCAAGTGTGCACACACATAGACTTAGAGAACTTAGTAGCAAGTGGGAAAATCGGCAAGGCATTCAGTCTATGAGCAAAACTCAGAAATCAGCCATGTGTTTCAGTCCATGTTTAGTCAGGTCATCACACTACTCCCCCCTCAAGAGCAAGGTCCCTTCGAGCGAGTAACTCATTCTGAGTCCCCAACAAATGCATCATAGGCAAACAAGGCAAAGAGATTTCGAGAATACTCTGTCCCAGAGAGCTTGGCAGAGATTTTAAGTGTGTTACGATCCTGGTCATTTCCCAAGTGCAAATTCACCATGAACGACAATGCCACCCAATTGCGAAAGAAATGAAAGCACTTGCAAAGAGAGAAAGACCAGAGGAGAGGTAAAGAAGAAGAAGAAGAAGAAGAAGAAGAAGAAGAAGAAGAAGAAGAAGAAGAAGAAGAAGTACACCAGCAAGACCAATGACAATTCCCCCTTCTCTCTCCACCTTCCTCCTTTTTCCTTCTCTTCACCAATCTTATTCTTCTCTCAATAATAATAATAACAATGAATGGATGAACCAGAATCAATGTCCGAGTCCTTCGGGACATCCGTTAAAATTGGAACGATACAGAGAAGATTAGCATGGCCCCTGCGCAAGGATGACACGAATAAATCGAGAAATGGTCCAATTTAAAAAAATAAAAAAATAAAAAAAGAATCAATGTCCGAAGTTCCCCCTTACTGCTGACTCAACTCACAACACAACAACAACAACAACAACAACAACAACAACAACAGTCCACCATAGCTATGGCTTCCCCCTTCAACCTCCTTTCTCATGCCTAGACCATGGCGGACTCCCAAGGGGTTGCCTTGCTGTGCAAAGGACAACCCGGAGCAGCTATGGTGCTGCGCCAATGTCCAAGGACTACCCAAGCAGCTAAGGTGCTGCGCTGATGTGCAAAGGACAACTCAGAGCAGCTATGGTGCTGCTGACTTAGTCCGCCATGCCTGACTCTGCCTCGAGCTTCCTTGATGCAGCGCTACCCCAACTGGGGCCTTCCAGATGCAGCGCCCGACAAGGTGATGAAGACGGTGTCCACCATAGCCAGGCAAGTGCCCTACCACTCTCCTACCATGTCCCCCTTCTTCCTCCTTCAAGCTGGGGTGCTCGCCATAGCCAGGCTGAGCCCCAACAGACCTTCACCTCCAAGCAGCGCTGCTTCAGACCAGCGCTGCGCTCCAGCAGCATGTCGCCAATCCTTGCATACCGCAAATGAGGAAGAGCCTTCCGCTCTTCCTGAAGATATAGTGGCCTACCGGCCTCCTGGGCGGTGACTTTCCAGGCCAAGCGGCCTCCCA